TGGGGAGTGTTCCGAGGTAAGACCTCTCCTGGGTGGACCAGGTCGTCTGAGGGTAGGGAGGCTCGTGTCCCGGTGGGAGCACGTCAGTCCTGCGTGGTGCTCCTTTTAAGGATGCCTCTGTCGAGGAGGGAGCTGCTGTTGGGACCCTGCACTGCTGGGCATGAAGTCTTAGCACTGGGTGTCCCTTAGAGGCCCCTGCATGTCAGTGTTGGGAAACCTAATACAGACTGGTCTAGGCATAAAAAGGCAAGTCATTGACTGGTGTCACTGAGCGGACAGGAGGTGGCCGGGGTCACTGAGTGGACAGGAAGGGACTTGGCAAGGCTGTCCTGATTCCAGCTTGGGTGATGGGCCTGGGGCCATTCTTTCTCCTTTTCTGCTGTTCACTTTGTTCTTCGCAGACTCTTCCTTTGGTTGCCAGATGACCCCAGCTTTGCCTTAAGCAGCACATTTCCATGTTCCAGGTTGCTAGGGCTATTTCAAGAGTCCCCATGATGGACTCATCACTGTCTCCAGGAGATGGGGGCCTTTGCCCGCTTCAGTCATCACCTCAGATGTCTGTGGTCCTCAGGACAGTGGTGTGAGGTCTTGGGGAGGGGCAAGTCAATGATGGAGGCAGGAGCAGCCCAGGATCTGCTCTCACAGGCAGGGAGGGGAAAGGCCTGTTGGAGGGGGGAGGGTCTTTGGAGTTTGTGTTGATTTGGGAAACAGGCTGCATTCTAGTCTAGGCTAAATGGTTTAACCTGTGGAGCTGCAGCCAGGAAGGCCGGGCTATACCTTCGGAAGGTTTTGAAGGCCCCTGGCCATGATCTTTTTAATTGTGAGTTCGGTGAAAGTTTACAGAGTCTGGTTTGGCTTTTGAGTTCCTGTTCACAGGTAGTGTCATGTCATAATGCTTGGAGTCATGATCTGATGTGAGTAAGGAGCTGTTTTCATATCTTGCATTGTGTCTTTTCATCCATGCAACAAAAACTTCTTTTCAAACAAGAAAGTTAAAAACTGAATGGGTTCACAGGTTCCCTTCTGCTTAATAGCCCACTGTTAGCCTAAAGTTCCCTGCGCTGCTCAGTCAGATCCTCAGCACAGAAATGGAGGCCGAGGGCCCGACTGTTGTGGGAAGACCTGCTGCAGGCCAGGTGTGCGGTGGCTCTCGTTTGGGGTGTGTGTCAACCCTTGAGGTAGGTGATGCTCTCCCTGATTTTTGGGTGAGGACTTTAGAGGAATATCAGCTTCCTCAACAAACATAAATCCCAGAAGCACCAGGATCTGTACTTGAGTTCTCTTAATGGGTGGGTGTAGGAAGGCTACAGGGCCTTCCCTCTCTCCTCAAGGTTCAGTCTCCTAAAGGGCTTCTCAGGTGCTGAAAGGGCAGGGAGACAGCATCTTCTGACCTCATCTAACTTCACGAGGAAGACAGAAGCACCATCAGCAGCCCAAGGCTTATTTCTAAGAGACCAGGCCACCATCCAACCTTTTTTACTAACTTTAACACCAGCTGTCCCTCCCATGGCACTCACTATTTCTCTGCTGGGTTCGATAATTTGTTGCAATGGCCACACAGAACTCACAGACAGTACTCATGGTTTTGGGGTTTATTAGGGAAGTAGTAGGTTGCAATTCAAGTTCAGGAACGTGCTCAGGCTACAGCTCTTTGATCAGGACAGTCTCCCCTCTAATGTGTGCTCTGGCTTGCCTCTCTGGCCTTTGGCCTTTCGGCCTGGCCTTTGCTCTGCTCAAGTAAGTATTATAAAGCTCTTTCAGCCCTGCCTAGGTTCACCCCACTCTGCCAGTAAGTCTCCAGCCCATGGGCACTCAGCTTTCTTGCTCTGTGGGTCGGAAAGCACGCTGCTCTGTCTCTTGCCTCTTGGTTCCTCTGCCACTGTCTCTCAGCCATGTGTCTCTTCAGCCAAGGAGGTCCAGTGTAGGGAACTCAAGTCCAAGGATATGTTCTACTTCATCTCCAGCTCTTCTCTGATGGCAGTGAGAGTCCCTTTTCTGCTTCTAGAAGGGCTCATTTTAGCCTGGCAGAGTGACAGAACTAACCATTCCCAACATCAGAGCTCTACACACCTCATTTGCATGGTCCCACCCAGTAATCTGGTGGGAGTTACAAAAACTATGGCTAGAAAAGCCATACCAAGTAATTCACTTACTGTATCGGCCATGGGTCATTTCTGCCTCAAGTGTCCTGGGCTGCCTCCCTCCTACATCTGGGGCTGGTGCCTTTCATCTGTCTGTCTGTCTGTCTTTAAGACTTTTACTTGACACAGCCAGGCTCTGGGATTGCACAAATGAATGAAAGCCATTCTTGCTATTGAAAGACTTAGAGTTGGGGTTGGCAAGCAGGAAAACTAGTCTGTAGACTGTGAGAGCCATGACTGTGGATGGGTGGTGGTTTCCTGTAAAACGTCCTGCTAAATGGTGCCTTCCACGCTTCCATCTCCTAAAAGATCTACCTGTTTATCCCCACACTTTACAAGAAGAGTGTGAATTGGATTCATATATTAGATGACAGTCATGATCCATGCCTGTTGCTAGTTCCCCTAGGTGAGGTAGCAATTCTGTCTGTCTCCTCAGCTTTGCAATTACCAGGTCATCCTGCAGGTGACAGCCTCACTTCTGCACTTGGTCTGGAAGAACTTGTGAGATAGACCAATATAGAATGTGTCCGTGTGTGTCCTCTGGCAGAGAGGTTGGTTCTAGACACCATGTTGGTAATGTGTCCACCTGGCTCCCTGTGTGGTTCAGACAACGTCTTTGGGAGAGACGGTCTTGCTGCAATGTGCAGCATGCTTTACTAGAGACCCTGCATGGAAGTGGGGCTTAGTGCTCGAACAGTCCAGAGCCAACTCCTCACCAGAACATTCAGTGGACCCTAGGGGGATGTCACCTTAACTGTATGCTGGGCAGCCCGTTAACTAAGTACCATGGTCCTATAGGCTTGACATGTGCAGGCACCACCTCTAGGACCAAAAATTGGCCAAGGCAGCAGGTGTACTTGTTATAAGTTAGTGAGATCTCCCTTTTAGCTGATTCCTTTTCCTTCTAGTTCTTGGTCTTTGAAGGTCTGAAAAAAATTGCATAGAAATCCTTAAGCTCACCTGTTAGCTAAGCTAGCAGATACAAAAGCAAACGGGCATCACAAAATCATGAAATAAAACTCCACTGTCTTCCTGATACTGACGTCGTTTTGCCCTGCTTCCCCATCTTGCTAACCTTGTTTTCTGCTTGAGTTTAGTCTTCTGTCCCTTTTGTGGACCTGTAACTTTGCCCAGTTAGCGCCTAAGGCAGGTCACCCTTGGGAGCTGTGACCTCATCCACCTTTCTTATCTCAAGTCTTGAAGCCCTTGCCATTCTCAGCCCTTCCTCCTCCTTCCCCCTGTGACATCCTCCCAGCTGGGTCCTGCAAATCTCCCTCCCCTGCAAGTTATCTCTAGCTCCTGCCTTTGTAGATGTTAGTGCCCAGTGTACCATGATGACACGCTGCCCAGTCATGCAGCATCTTCCTGATTGTTGGTCTGTTCAAATCCATTGTGGTGGCTTCTGTGTCACTTCATCTCATGAAGGTTTTTCTCACTTTTCTGACCCCCTACTTTACCAAACATAATGTCCTTTTCTAGCAATTGGCCAGACACAGTCTCCCCATCTCGCTTTTCAGGAGCATTCTGGGTGTATTTCTTCTGAGACTGGTCTGTTCTTCTTGCACTCCACGGTGCATTTCATATTTTTGGCCACTACTGCAGCTTGAGGGATCACTCTTCTGCCTTCCTTTCGCAGTGTCCAGCTTTCTCATGCAATGAAATGATTGGAAAGACCGTGGGGTCCCTCACACCTTAGAGATGCACAGCTGGTCTTTCTGGACTCCCTTGCTGCCTGCCTGCAGTCCCCACTCTTCTGACTCTGATGCCACAGGCACTCTGCGCCTGTGGCTCATCCCAGACGGGATTTGTGTCTTCGCTGTAGTGAGAGTCCTGAGGAGGTCTCATTCGTCTTTACCTACCTGCTCCTGGTTTACAGTGGGCACCTGCCTTTCTGTCCTCTTCCTTCAGCCCAACTGGACACCTGCCTTCTGTCACCATTATTCAGGTGCGGAGTACAGGGTACTGCTGTGGAAAGCCCCTTGTCCTTGGGAGCTTCTGGGGCAGTGCTCGGGCCTGAGGGTGTTAGGACACAGGTGTGGAAGCCCTGCTCAAGACTCCACCCACAAGGTCACTTCCTTCTCGCTTGTCATTTAAAATCGTCACCAATTCCCATTCACTTGTCTGGGTCACCCCCAGTCTTGGGTCTAGAGACTGCTACTGGCCCCGCAAAGCCCCCCACTCCCTGTGGGCCAGCACGTTTTTCCACATGCGTCCCCTCACCCCCAACAGGACATCGCTCTTCTCCACGTGTGCCTTCCTCCGCATAAGCACCTCTCCCTGCAGACCTGATCTTCGGAAGATGCAGTATGATGTCTGCTTCAGGAGGGAATGTGACAGGAAAGGACATGACTTGGAGCTGAGTGGGCTCCGAGGGTGCTGGGCTGTCAGGGAGCCAGCTGGGCACTACAGCTCAGAGCAGGGTTTGCTGCGACCCTCGCTGCTCTGCGGCAGAGGTCCTGTGCAGAGAAAGGGGTGTGAGTGGGGCGTTGGACACACACTGCCTGCAGTTCAGTGCCTCTGCCACCTACAGGGTCTGTGTGCCTGTCCTGCTTCTGTCCACTGGCCCTTGCCTTACTCTTGACAGCTGCTTTAGTGATGTGGGACTTAAGGTATGTGCAGACATCTTTCCTGCAGAAGCCATGCTATCAGTAAGAACTGTGGTGGCAGTGAGTGCTCTCCAGTTCCTGGAAGGTGGTAGCTTTTGTGGGATGTCTTCAAGATGTCACTGCAGAGTCAAGGAGTACATGTCTGCAGACTTTGCTGCCGGGGGTCGTTAACAGCTGGGATTACAGCAGCAGTGACCAGGCCAAGCTGGCCAAGGGAGCACATCATCATGAAACCATTGCTTCTACAGTAACCATGGGCCAGACCGGCAAGAAGTCTGACAAGGGGCCCGTGTGCTGGCGGAAGCGCGTCAAGTCCGAGTACATGCGGCTGCGGCAGTTGAAGCGGTTCCGGCGGGCCGACGAGGTCAAGGTAGGGCCGACTGACTCCTGGGGCGGGGCCTGTGGCTGCTGGGGCGGCTTGCCCAAAGTCGAGAAAGCTTCCATTTGAATGGCATGTTCCAGCCAAAGTCCCCTGAGCTGCCGCCACCAACCCAAGAGTGTCCACACAGTGATTTGTCAGGCTGTGGGAAGCCCTTTCTTCTTAGGGTAGCTTTATATTATATGTGTGGGCTTCGAACCCAACCAGGATACTGTCATGGTGCTATGTTTCTGAAGACAAAGAATGGAATAATTTTCTGTTCCTCTCCCACTGTCTAAAGTAACAGGTATACAGCTTTTGCATTACAGGCAGTCCCTGGTTATGGACGAGACTTGTCCTTGTACCTTTAAGAACTTGTAGGTCAGTCAGACCACGTGTATGCAGTTCTTAGCCTGACTTTGGTGCAAGAAAAGGTTTGAAGCCTTTTCTGTGACTTAAAAGGTGCCTGTGCAGCAAGTAAAGTGATGGTGATGGGGAATTTGTGGCAGGTGAGGTTGGTTTAGTCCCTGCACAGTGAGGGCCAGTCCGAGTTGCCCTGAGTTGGGACTTTGTGAAGTGGGGACCTCCTGTATGCCCTACAGGAGTCTAGTGTGAAATCCCCGTGCGTTTGAGGAAATCACTAGATTGTAGCCTGCTTTTCTCTAACAGTGAACAATTCTGTTCTCCCCTCCTTTGTTTTATTTTTAAAGAGTATGTTTAGTTCCAATCGTCAGAAAATTTTGGAAAGAACGGAGATCTTGAACCAGGAGTGGAAGCAGCGAAGGATCCAACCTGTGCACATCCTGACTTCTGTGAGCTCTTTGCGCGGGACCAGGGAGGTTGGTGAACATGCGTGTCGCGGGGCTACAGCACGTTTCGGTTTCTGGGTGGGGTGCTGGCTGGGCAGGGAGGGTGCACTGACCTCGGGGTGCCCCTCCCACGCGGGTGTGTCCTTGCAGCTGTCAGCGGTGGTTGGAGTGCCCCCTGCTGTCTGCCAGAGTCCCCAGTGCTTGGAGTGTGTGTTCACTGGGGCTTGTTGGGCTTGTTCCCAGATCCTACCTGATGGTTGGTTAGAGTAGCTGCAGCTCTCTGAGGCACACTTCGATTCCCATCCCCTTAGCACGAATTGGCCGTGTGGTGAGAAATGTCTTCTTTCATGTTCATAGAGTGAGAAAGCAGTTCACTGTGCCTTATGTTCAAGGGTGGAGAAGGCTCTGTGGATTTTCAGGATTCAGTGTTAGGAGATTGGAATCGCCTTTTCCAGAACATTTTCTGAATGAGGTAGCTCTTCCTCATGTCAAGAGTTTCCTGTTTTCAGAGGGAGACAGCACATCAGAGCCTGTTGCAGCAGTGTCAGCCGCTGACTGAAGGCTCTGAGAGTGCCGTGTGTGTGTGCGTGTGCGTGTGTGTGTGTACGGGGAGTGGAGGCCCATTTCAGTGGAGTCCAGGCAGAACACAGGTGGTGGCTCATAGCCTTTGCTTGTTGGTCTGGTGTCTGGACCGGTGAAGCATCCAGGGAAGTTGCCTGACAGTTGTGTTTCAGGGAATAGCTGTTTTGTATGTTATTGTAGCAACCAGGCTTGTCAGTGGGGCTGGCTGTCAGAGCTGTACACAGGGTCTTAGTGACGCTGCTGAAGTGTGGGCTCATGTGGCGTAGATGTCTGTGACGTGCTGGAACCTTCCCATCACCCTGCTCTTTTGGTGTTAGCTCACTAAACCTGACGAAGTTGGTGTGGCCTATTGTAGGTGTCCTCGGTCATCGACGCTCTGTGAACGTGCTAGGAGGGGACGGGACTCTCGCTGGACCAGTGGAGCGGCTCCAAAGGGAGGAGGCTAGGACGTTCTGTCTGCTGACCATTTGGGAAATTTGGAGGCAAAGGAAAAGGAAGTTTCATTTTCCCCGAGAGGACTAAATCCTTGAGATTTGGAGAAATAAAGTAGAAATCCCTGGGATGCTTCTGTCTGCCACCCCTCACAAGTCTCAAAATGCTACCCAGAATCCAATTCAGTTTGTTACAAAAGTCAGCAGCAAAAATGGCCCTGGCCCCGCCTGAAGGGCTTTGCAGACCTTACCTGTCCCTGTCGTCTTCTCGGTAGCTGCATCTGTGTCTGTCTCTGTCTCTGTCACTCCTGTTTCCGAGGAAGTGCAGAAGGAGTGAGTTGGTACGCTGCTCTGCTAGCCACGGGCAGTGCGAGCCACCATCCCGCACAGAGCGCGCAGGCTCCCTGGCTTCCTGAGGCGAGTCTGAGTGTAGTTTCTTCACATGATACTTACTCACTGAATTTTTTCAGTTTTGTCAAGTGGGGAGAAAATTAATTGAACTTAGGTAACTTTTGAGTTTGTGTGAAATAAAAAACTGTAAGAAGTGAGCTTTTTAATAAAACAAAATTGTTTTCTAACCGTAGTACTTCCACGCAGTGCTATGCAGGGGGAGAAAAACGTTGTCACAGAGTCCTGGGGAAGAAGAGGAAGCGTCTCCAGCCTCAGGACTTGAGCTTCTGTCTCTTGCATCTCTTACCTGGTTGGAGTCCTGAGTGTTTGCGCTGCTCTTTGAAGCTGACCAGGCTTCATAGGACTTGGTCGCTTTCCCTCTCCTTTCTAATAACCACTGCCACTGATTTGTGGAGGCTGAAGATTGATTCTGTTTGTGATAAGCTTTTTTGCATTATCACAATAAATCACAAAGTTTTAGGACTAGGAAGGATGTTGAAGTCTCTTAGTTTAACCCCTTGTTTTTAGAGAGAGTATTCCCTTTTTTTTTTCCTCAACTTGAGCCTTTTCAGCTCTATGCATTTCTGTTACATGCTTTACATGTTGCAGTAGGAAGTAGCTTAGCCGCAGGAGTTGAATAGTCCGTCTTGCAGGCTGTGAGCACTGGGCTGGTGGGAATTCTGACACGCCCGAGTCTAGCTTCTAGCCTCTGGAAGTGCTGGGTCCACCCACTGTGTCAGCTACATGTTTCCATACCAGTCCTGTCTTGGTGCTGCCCTTGTCCACTTGAGTCCTCACAGCATGGCAAATCGGCAGGTGCCCACTTGAGTCAAGCATTACACTGGACTCCTGTAGAAGTTGGGAGTCTACTCTCTACGTGGTGTCATGGTGACCTTAGTGGCGATGTCTGATGAAAGCTTATTTTCTGACCTCATGAAGGCCTTCTGTGAGAAGAGTCCTGCTTAGTGGGTGAACTGGAAGTGTCTGTGGTACATGCTGTGTGTGTAGTACATAGTCTATAGGTAATACACATGCTGTGTGGTCCACGTTCTGTGTGTGGAACCCTGTTCAGCAGGTGAACTAGAGGCGTCTGATACATGCTCTGTGTGTGTAAACGCTCAGTATGAGTAGCTCTGCCCAGTGGGTGAACTGGAGGCAGTAGCGGTACATGTTCTGTGTGTGGTACATGCTCTGTATGAGGAGCCTTGCCCAGCGGTGAACTAGAGGTGTGTGAGGTATACACTTTGTGCGTGGTACATGCTCTGTGTGTGTTACATGCCCTGTATCAGGAGCCTTGCCCAGCGGTGAACTAGAGGTGTGTGAGGTATATACTTTGTGTGTGGTACATGCTCTGTGTGTGGTACATACCCTGTGTGAGGAGCCTTGCCTAGTGGGTGAGCTAGAGGTGTGTGTGGTATACATTTTGTGTGTGGTACATGTTCTGTGTGTGGTACATGCCCTGTATGAGGAGCTTTGCCCAGCGATGAATTAGAGGTGTGTGTGGTATACACTTTGTGTGTGGTACATGTTCTATGTATGGTACATGCTGTGTGTGTGGTACATGCCGTGTGTGAGGAGCCTTGCCCAGCAGGTGAACCAGAGGTGTGTATGGTATACACTCTGTGTGTGGTACACTCTCTGTGCATGGTACTCACTCTATGTATGGTACATGCTGTATGTGTGGTACATGCCGTGTGTGAGGAGCCTGGCCCAGCGAGTGAACTAGAGGTGTGTATGGTATATACTCTGTATGTGGTACATACTCTGTGTGAGGAGCCTTGCCCAGTGGGTGAACTAGAGGTATGTATGGTATACACTGTGTGTGATACATGCCTTTTGTGTAGTACCTGTCCTATGTGAGGAGCCTTGCCCAGTGGGTAAACTAGAGGGTGAACTAGAGGTGTGTATGGTACATGCCCTGTGTGTGGTACATGCCCTGTGTGAGGAGCCTTGCCCAGTGGGTAAACTGGAGGTGTGTATGGTGTATACTCTGTGTGGTATGTGCTCTGTTTATGGTACATGCCCTGTGTGAGGAGCCTTGCCAGGTAGGTGAACTGGAGGTATGTATGGTATACATTCTGTGTGTGGTACATGTCCTGTGTGAGGAGCTTTGCCTAGCAGGTGAACTAGAGGTGTGTGGTATATGCCCTGTGTATGGTATACACTCTCTGTGCTGTACACATCTTGTGTGTGGTACATGTCCTGTGTGAGGAGCCTTGCCTAGCAGATGCACTAGAGGCGTGTGTGGTACATGCTCTGTGTGTGATACATGCTCTTTGTGTGATACATGCTCTGTGTGAGTGGCCCTGCCCTGTGGGTGAACTAGAGGTGTTGGTGTGTATGGTATATGCTCTGTGTGTGGCACACACTCTGTATGTGTGCTTTAAAATGCTTTTGGGTGCCTGTTATTTTTTGTTGCCAAGATCACAGAACCTAATAAAGTTTATGTGTCTGTTTGTAAAAGTACTTGCTGAAAACAGTGACCATAGATCAAGTTTTACATTTATTTCCTTTGCTCTTCACTTGATCTTTTTTTAAAGATCAGTTTCAAAATGTTATTAAGCAGGAGATGCAGGCCAAAGGGTGCTCACCTTGTTGCCCTAATATGTGGCTCTTTTTAAAAACTGCCTTGGTGACTGTCATTACTTTGTTTTCTCATTCAGTACAGAACTTTGTTCTCCGTGCATATGGGTAAATTGGTGGTTATTTTCTTCATTGTAGGTGTTTTTCCAGTGTTAATGAAGAAACTGGATTTAAACTTGTAGTCCTCATTCAGTGGAGTTTTTTTCTGCCCATTGGTCCATTTCTTGACAAGAACCAAAAGACACTTTGCTCCATCATTATTATTCTTATAAAAAAATTTTTTGGTGTTAGGTGCCATCCAGTTGTGTCTGATTCATAGCAACCTTGTGATTCATAGCAACCTTGTGAACAACAGCATGAAAACTGCCTGGTCTTGCACCATCCTCACAATCATAGCTGTGCTTACGTCCATTGTTGCAGTCACTGTGTCAGTCCATGCCATTGAGGGTCTTCCTCTTCTTCACGGACCCTCTGCTCTACTAAGCAGGATGTCCTCTTCCAGGGACTGGTCTCTCCTCATAACATGTCCAAAAAACACAAGTCAAAGTCTCGCTTCTAAGGAGCATTCTGGCTGTAATTCCTTGAAGGACGATTTGTTCGTCCTTCTGGCCAGTCCGTGGTCTTTCCAGTATTCTTCCCCAACACCAACAATTCAAAGGCATCAACTCTTCTTTGGTCTTCTTTACCATTGTTCAGCTTTCACATGCATACCAGACAATTGAAGATACCATGGGTCATGGTCCTCAGGGTGACTCTTGTTGTTGCTTTTTAACATTGTAAAGAGGTCTTTTGTAGGAGATTTGCCTAATATAATATATTGTTTGATTTATTAACTGCTGCTTTCATAGGCATTGGTTATGGATCCAAATAAAATGAAATCCTTGACAACTTCAGTCTTTTCACTGTTTATCATGAAGTTGCTTCTTTGTCCAATTGTAAGGATTTTTGTTTTCTTTATGTTGCAGTGTAATCCATACTGAAGACTGTAGTTTTTGATTTTTATCAGTAGGTGCTTCA